ATGCATCACACCTATCTGTTTTCCACTTGATGCCTTTAATCTGAGCAGCGACAGAGACTCTCTGTGTTCTGGCACCCCGGAAGTCAAGCGGCCTGCTTCTCCCTCAGAGCCCTGCTGATCCTGCACTTCTCACAGAGCCGCGAGAGGACTGCCCTCACTCCCGTACCACAGCCATGCCAAATAGCAAAGCAGACAGCAGACGTGGTGGCCAGAGACATATTGTTTGAAACCCCTGGGCTGCCAAGCAGACATTAAAGCAGCCCTTCTTGGCACCAGACTAGAGTGAGTTGGAACCCTTGGGGCCATTCCCACCTTTAGAGTTTAGGTCAGCCTTTCCGAGTTCGGTCCCGTTGCTGGGAGCATGAGCCCTCTGTGCTCTCCCTCTGTCTCTGCAGCCTACATCTTCCCGCCGAGTGCTGCTTGCCCACCTGCATCCAGCACCCTCCTTTGATCCCCAAGGAAGCCTGTTCAGGCCTTCAGCAGTGCATCAGAGCCCTCCTTTATGTCTCTTTACCTGTCTCCCCGTACTGACTGTCCTTGGTCTCCTCTATTCCAAAAGTGCCTTGTGTGTGGCCAAACAGCGTTATGTGTTTATCAAAGTTGCCCCCAATAATTTTATGAAGCATTTTTGTGTGATCTTAACATTTCAGAATTTCAGTGCAAAAAGATGAGGAGACCTCAGGTCTTCCACTCTTCTCTCCTCCCTACTGACCCCCGCCCCTCCATTGGCAGACAGGCAGCCCCTGATCGGTCCTTTTCATGGTGGGCTCTCTCTGCCCTCTGAATCAGTTCATCTCTGCTTGGCTTTTGATCAACAGGAGGAATCTCTCTGGTGGAGCCTAAAGCCGCCTTTAGGAAGTCTCCGTTCATCTGATGCTAGTTCTTATCCCAGTACCCTCCCCTTTTCATATACACAATCCTTCTCCAATCCCCTGGGTCCCTCTCGCTCAGCATGTGCCCCCAGAGAGAGTTGTCTGATAGAGAGATTACTCGCACAAGGAGAGATCTTTACTCTCTCAGATAAACATTCCCTGTTCCAAAGGTTAGGGCTTTGAAAGTGGCTCAGCCGCTAAAGTGCTTGCTGCAGAAGCAAGAGAACCGGAGCACAGATTCCCCAGGATCCCCAGAACCCAAGTAAATGCTAGTAACCATGATAGCCTGCCTGATGAAGGCCTTGTTGTATCCATCCATCTATCCATCTATCCATCTATCCATCCATCCACCCACCCACCCACCCATCCATCCATCTATATCTATCTATCTGTCTGTCTGTCTGTCATCTATCTACCCAGCTATTATCTTTCTATATACCTAGCTATCTTAGTTTGCTTCCTATTACATAAAGTGATTGCATCTGTAATAAAGACCATGATCAAAATCATCCTGGCTTACAATTCCACATCAGTCCATAGGAAAGGAAGTCAGGGCAGGAATCTGGAGGCAGGAACTGAAGCAGAGTCTGGGGAAGGATACTACTTACTGGCTTGCTCGTTATTGCTTATTCAGAGAGCTTTCTTATACTGCCCAAGAACACCTTCCCTGGGTGGTACCCCCAAAGTAGTCTGGGCCCTCCCCCATCCACCATTCACCAAGAAAACACCCTACAGACCTGCCTACAGGCCAATCTGATGGAGGCATCCTCCCAGTTGAGGCCCCTCTTCCTGGGCCAGGCATAGTGACACGCACCTTTAATCTCAGCTCTTGGGGGCAGAGTCTGGTGGTTCTCTGAGTCTTAGGACAGTCTAGTCTACATAGGGACTTGCAGGACAGCCAGAACTACATAGTGAGCCCTGTGTCAAAAGTTGCTTATTTAGTCACTTAATAAATTTTAAAAATAAAAAACAAGTTCCCTCTTCCTAGGTGACCCTAGCTTATGTCAAGTTGACAAGAAAACAAAACAAAAACTAATACTAATTAGCCCACCATATCAGGGAGCTCTGGGTTTGATTGAGAGACTCAGCCTCAAAGATGGACCCATGAAGACTCCCTAAATTCCTTGGCATCAACTTTGGGCCTTTATACACATGAACATGAACACACACACACACACACACACACACACACACACACACACGACAAAAGCCTTTATCATCATAAGAACACCGAGGACACACACCCTCTTGGCACTGTAAGCATATAACATTGTGTTATTAACTAGAGGAGCAGTGTTGGATGGAGAGCTCATAACAGAGATTTTATGTCTATTGATTAGCAACTCTCCCTTTCCCCGTCCTTCGGCATCTGGCATCTGTTAGGATCCCCTTTAATTCAATGGGTTGCAGTACTTTAGGTACCTCACGAAAGGGGAAGCATGAAGCCCTTGTCCTTCTGAGACTGATTTCCTTCCTGTGGCATAATGTCCTCAGGGGCCATCTGTTGTCACAAGTTGCAGGATCTCTGTCCTCTCTCAAGAATTTTAATGGTTAAGTAATGTTTACAGAAGGAAAGTGTTTTATTGGATTCTGATTTTTTTTTTCTAGCCTGGGAGGGGAATCCGAGATTATATCTTTATTTTTCTGGTTATCATTTTCATCTGGCTTCATCACCCTGATAAACTGGGAGTAGTCCGGAAGTTTAGGCCTTATCTGCTCAGATCACCACATTCCTCAGGGGTACCTGTGTGGTTGGTATTTTGCCGCCAGGGTAGAATGTTACAACTTCCCCCAAATGGGTCACAGTTCTCTCAGACTGTAAATCCAGTCTCAGGAGGGATTTCTGAATCCTGATTAGTAACCGGAATTAACTCTTGGCTTTCCTAGTTCTTAATCTGAGTAAATGAGATGCAGGTGACGGCTATGTCCATGTCCAAGGCCATGGTAGGGGCACTGACGGAACCGGTATGTGCTAAGACTCTTCAGTAAGCTACCAGACATCTTCTGTGGAACCACAGTGTTCTACTTGTCCTGGACACCACCTGAGAATCATCCAAGGCCCTTGCTTAAAGCACAGATTTCTGATTTCACAAAAATCCAGACTCAGAATGAAAGGAAATGGGGCCTAGACGTCTACACTTAATCCACACAGTCAGGTGTGGGGCCATGAACCCCAGAGTTCAGAATTCAAGAGTTTCAAGCAAGTCTAGTTTGACCTGACCAAAGTCAAAGACACCCTGTGGAACCTGGGTGGGCGGAACAGGTCTAGAACATTGGCAGGGTGTTCTACAGATCAGGACACCTGTCTAGACCACACTGGTCCTCCACACCAACTCCAAACCTACTGTGTTCTTCCCATTGTGCCTCTGCACCCTTTACATCCATCTCCCGGGATCTATGTCCTTGCTTCCAATATCGGTTTCTGTTCCTGCATTTGGATGCAGGTTTAAGCTCCTCAACCGGACCCAGCGCTTGTTGTCCTTGGTGTCGCAGCGGGCTCTATGTGACTACCTGTTTGTAGCATCTCTCATGACTTCTGTTAAGGTCTGTCTCATCAGCTCTGCCGCATTGCAGAGCTGATATAGATTTGTTGTCCGCTGGTCCTTGCCTCGCCCCTGCTAGCTTTATAAGGACAGGACTTCAGCTAATCAGAGTCACATCCAACCCACAGGGGTTTGAACTCAAGATGGCTATATTGCCAGCACGTGATGTGCCGGGATGGTACACAGCAGGTGCCTACTAAATTTCTCTCTCAGAGAACAGGATGCTTAAGTCTGACTCAGTTCTGGAGATAGTGACAATGCTGCAGGCTTCAGGGCCAGACAGCGATCCCCGTGAATCTCAGCTTCCGGGCCTGCAGTCGCATGGCCTTAGGTGAGCTAATTAACCTTTATGAGCCATAAGTATCTCAACTATAAATAGAACTGTAGGCTGGGTGTCTGAAGGCTCCTTAGCTCTCGACTCTATGAGTCTCTGAGTCACGTTCCTCCCCTTACTGTCTGGTATTCTATTCTTTGAGGTCCTCAGAAGCCAAAGCCACTGCAGTCAAGTCTCACAGCTCAAACCAAGCTCGAATGCCCTTCTCCCATGCTTCATGGCACTGTGTCTGCAGATCCTTCAAGAGCACTATCACCCCCCAGCCCTTTCCAGCCCGACTCATCAGGCAATGACGTCATTAATCCCACGGCACTCTGTCATTCACAGAAGCAATCACTCTGGCTTCTGGCTGTGAATTCTTTTCATCCACTTTTGTTTATCACTGTTGAAGCATTTTTTAATCAAAACAATTAAATATGCTAAATCTTCCTCAATTAGTTGTGCATTAAAAATGAAAAGTGCTTCAGTGGAAATGGCAGAAGAAGCCCTCTACTTGGTGCTAAGTGGGTTGCTCAGAGCGTCTCTTGTTCCAGGCACTCCATCCAGCTCCAGAGGTGTACAGAAACCGACAGTCAGTGTCACAGAGCACTTCAGCTCTTACAGACTTAAGGGGGAGCAATCCCTGCTTTCCATAAACAAGAAGCTGAGGTCAGTGGGATGGGGTCCTTGGCAGAGTTCACAGAGGGTGAACTGGGATTGAAGTTGTAAGCCTTTTCTTCCATCCCCTCCCCACAGGGTCATGACGTTCACTTTTTTTCTTTCAATTACCAACCATTTGTTTTGGAAAAAAAAAAGACTGAGCTCCTGCATAAAAAGAACAGTGACAAATGAGAGTGAGGGGCATTGTGCTCCTAAAACACTTCCTGAAGTAAAGTGTTTGAACAGGAGCTTGGGTGGGGTTCAGACAGAGTGAAGTGGGAGGGAAGAGGGCCCTTATATTGAAGGATATCCTGTGTGAAGCGGGGTGAACACCAGGCTTGGAGGGAGGGGCATGCCCTGAAACCATTGCTCCAAGGAGACTCGGAAGAGAATGGCAAAGAGGAAAAAAAAATTGAGAGTCTAGAGCAACTCGTATGGGCAGCGCCAGGGATGCCTCATTTCTACAGGTGTTTGGATGGCCGTCCAGGCGAGAAAAGTGAAGATGCCTCTAAAGCCAGAGGAAGCTCTCCCTAGCCTGAGCCGGCTGCGCCATGCAGCTGTCATTTCGATCACTCCAAGGCTGAGGACTTGGTTTCTGTCTTCCTACTGTAGGTGTGACTGCGAAAGACATCGGATATTGCATCGGAGGTTCCTTGGGCCTGGAGTTTGGGGACCATTTCACCGTTGATGGAGGGTTATCAGGACAAACCTGTGAGAAATCTGGAGCTGCTAACACTGGCAAGTATTTATTAATGGGTCTCCCCTAAAGAGAAGCCAGCTTTCCTTGGGACACTCAATTCATGTAAACGATTGTCTTCCCCAGCTGATTCCATTTCTCTCACACTGCAGATGCTAAGTAGCCCCAAACCATGGCCAGTGTATAAGGTCTGCTTTGGGTCCACCTGCTTGCACTAATACTCAATAGTCTAAGAATCCTTCCCAGATTTCAAGGGTTTGACAAAGACCCCAGCAAGGAATGGGGTGAAAAGGGACACTTAGGTAGGACCTGTTATCATTTCATCAGGGAATGGTGCAGAGGGAGTAGGCAAAGTCCTCATGAGAAGAGATTATGACTCCCAAGTCCAGGCTCAAGGAACAATGAGTAGTGAGAGGATGTGAATGGATCTCTTGAACGCATCAGTGTGGGTGATTTTTACATTCACTCAGTCACTCAACTGTCAAATACAAATCAAAATCTTTTCCGGTGCGGGACAGAGAACCTAAGAAGCATGAAATCAGCACATGATGAGGCAGGCAAAGTGCATACCAAATGGGCTTAAGTTATAATCCCCCGCTTAGGTTATTTACGCCTTGGGTATTAAACCAAATAGCTCCATTTCTGATGACCTCTCGACCTCTCTCCTTGACCTAGCAAATGCTTTGTCACCAACTCCTTTTCCTTCCTGACTAGCCCGTCCAGCTGCTTGCTTCTCAGTGTCTTCACTGAGTGCGACAGTGACATCTGCCATAGCCTCTGCAATGTTGGGTAGGGAGAAAGAGCAAGAACAAAGCAGAGGAGAGAGTGAGGAAGGGGAGAAAGAGGAGAGTTAGAGAGATGGTGGGGAGAGAATTCAAGAACAAACAGGCACTGGATAAACCCCTGACCCACTGAGCTTTCCAGTCTAAGTCCACATTGGGTTGGGTTGGCTTGGCTTCTCTGGGTCTGCTCCACTCAGAGGATGCGCAGTTTCTATCTACCCCATCCTGCTGGTTATTGGATCCCGTAGAAGAATGGGTCTAGTTCTAAGGAAAGCAGATGAACACTACTAAAAAAATCTCATCAGTAGAAATTAACCACCAGTCCTCTGGTTTGGGAGAGAAAAGCTAACTCTGCCTTGCTCTTGACAGATAAAAAGAATAAGAACTCGGCAGTAGAGGACATCATTTCTCTGGTGCGAGGTGGCAGTTCTGACTGGGGCAGTGTCTTGACAGAAGATAGGAGTATCATTACGTACCGGTCCTGGGGGAGATCATTAAAGTATAACCCTGTTGTTATCGATTTTGAGGTAAGTCTTTTCGCAGTTGAAGAAACCCTACGTCTATAAGGAACGAAAGTGAAGCCGACCAGATCATTTCAGATTTCTTATTATGAGCCTATCAAAGAACAAGATTAAATGTAACGGCACACTGAACTGGTGCCCTTGCCCAAACCTGCCCGGAGGGAAGATGTGGCATTAGACCAGACCCACAGGACAGTTGGGGTTAGAAACTTACTGTCTGTTTGGGGTCCAGGTGACCAAGGCAATCCCAGAAGCTCTGCAGGGCTGGGCATGAGACCCCAACTTGCATTTTTGCACAAAGGAATTTAAAAATTACATATGGTACATTAGGAGGTCATATTTTTTTTCATTAGAAGGTTATAAAGGTTACTAAAAAAAACCTGTCCTTTATATGAGTAGCAAGACAGTTTACATGTTAAGTAGCACTATAACAGAATGATTGGATGTGGCTTTAAACAGAAGAAAAGAGAAAATTTCAAGTTGTAGCACTCCTTCCACCAGGACAAATATGAAAAAAAATAACTTTTTATAAGTAGGTCAGTATGACAAAAGTATTCAGTAGCTAGTCATGTTTAATGCCTATTGTGCATTAAACACAACAGAATTAAAATCAACAGAATGCAAACGAGCAACCATTTCTCCCAGTTGCTCCCTCAAAGGAAGAGTGCGTGGTGGATTCTATCGCCATGCAAGACTGGTTCTTGCTACTTCAGTACATGGAGAGTTGAATCCACACATCCACCATGAAAACTCGATGAAGCTTAGCTTTATATTCCTTTAACTACCCATGAGTCCTTTCTCATCACCAAGTATTATCTTCTCTTGGTCGCCTGTCTGAGGGTTTGGTCCACAACCACAGCTGTTTACATGTACACGGATCTACATCAATGGCCAGGATCTGTATATGAGGGGAACAGGCTTTGGGGAGGCGTCACCTCTCTTACTACTGTGATTCCACAGGCGTCCATCTCCCTGTAAAATTTTAACAGCTGAATGATAGTCCGTTCTTCAGAATGCCATGTTTTCATTAAAGGGGCAGTCAACAAATATTGAACAGATTAGGAATCAGGTCCAGAAAAAAAGCCAAATGACTTGCTTAAGCTACTAAATGAGTTGCCAGATAGTGCCTATGTGGCAGGCTCATGGACTGTGTGTTCAGCTCTCATTCGCCTCTGCCTTAGCACCTTCTTTAAAACACGGATTCTTAGTTGCACAGTGTTTTGGGGGGGGGCACGCCTTGAATCCGAGTGCTCAGGAGGCAGAGGCAGTTGGATCTCTGTGAGTTCGAAGCTAGCCTGAACTAGTTCCAGGACAATCAAAGCTAGACAAAGAAACCTTGTCTAGGAGGAAAAAAAAAAGATTACAAAGCACTGATTCTTTACCATGGGGTAGGGTGCTTTTGTTGCTCTGGGGAAATATGGCCATGTGCCAGGTCAGTGCCAGGCAATGTGACAAGGTCAGTGCTTTGGGGACTTAAAGAAAGAAACCAGGAATCCTGCTAAACAACCCACAGGGACACACAAGCCCCTCAGCTAAGAGTCCTCTGGCCTGACATGCCAACAAAGTTAAAAAAAAAAAAAACTGGCTTTGTCTTTCTCCTTACAAACTGGCTTCCACTAGCTGTCAAGACGGCCCTTTCAAAACTGTTCTGAGTTCAAACTTCTAAGAAAAGTATAATCATTGTCCCAATTCTTATCTCCCTAACTGTGCCCATTTTCTGCATGTATCTAAACACAGAGATATTATGTCTACAGACACTTCTAAGACATCACGACAGTTAACCCTAAAACCATTTTAACACCCATTCTCTGGGAAGAAGGAAGGTCGGATGGATTAACCTTGATTTCATTTCTTCTCCAATAAGTAAGGGACCACTTTCATGTGCCTGTCATTCACAGAGGGTCTGAAAATTGCTATCATCAAGTTATTAGCGGATTTGGGCAAAAAGTGTAAAATTGATGTCAGGAGAATGTGTGTGTATGTGGTGTGTGTGTGTGGTGTGTGTGGTGTGTGTGGTGTGGTGTAAGCTTTCAAAGTCAAGATGTGGACTTTGTTTTTGCCTTGAGCAAAAGTTCCAAAGGGAAGGCAGGGCCCAATTTGACAACTGAAACTCTCTTTGGAGAGAAGCACTCAGGGTTTGGGGTGGGGAGAAGAGTGGTTCGGATCATGGCTCATCCCCGCCTCCAGGTGTCACCTTGGTCTATTCCTTCTCTTTTAGCCCACCGTGAATTACATAACAAAGAATGCTAGATTATAAAGTTGAAGAAGGGGATACTCAGGGAATCTTAAATGAGGAAACAGGTCCCCAGAATTAACAGACTAGCATAAAAGTTTGTAGCAAGCAAATGACAGCCACGTCCCATTAACCCTTTAATATCCATCACAACTTTCACTACCCCCTGAGACATGTATGTCAACACACTAAATCACAGACAGGTTTTAGAGTGGTGAAATAAAGCCAGTTTTATGCTTTAAAAAGAGGGTGAAGAGGGAGAGAGAGAGGAGATAGATAGATAGATAGATGGATGAGGATGACATGGGATAATAGATGAATGGATGGATAGGTGATGGATGGATGGATAATGGATGGATGGATGGATGGATGGATGGATAGATAGATCACAGGATCTAATAATTCTTAAGCAAACCTGTTAGGAATTATTAGAAAAGTAGAAATGGTGTCAGCAGAAACTCTTTATTCTGCTGATACTTAGACTGAGTGAATTCATGGGTCATATTGTTTTATTCTGTGTTATATACATTGTGTTAAGTATGCATTAGCTTATGTTATGTTGCTTCATTGCTTGTCTCTCTGACTCTGCTTATCTATAAATTGGATACGATCATTGCTAATACATTTTAAGCTCTGAAATTCTAATATCCTTTCTTCTTTATCCCTCTCTACTTCTAAAAAAACACCAACCTTCCCCAGGAACATTTCCTGAGGGTCGTGAGAAGAGGGGAGGGACTTGAGTCTGCTTCAAGGTTAAGGGGAAGTTGTCCGGTGGGGCTTTCCAGCTAACTGGAACCAAAAGTTTTCTTTAATCAGGACCCTGGGCAGCCCTTTTCATACTTACATCCTCACAACGGGCCCAGTTCCCTGATCTCCCAGTTACTGATTATCTTTTGGCTGGGGCTCCAGCCAACCCTTGCTTCCCCTGTCTGTAGGTCCCCGCAATGGCCTCTGACCACTCACCGAGGTCTGTTTGCCATGAGTCATTCTGCCAACATTTCCAGGAACCCATCAAAGTTCTGTGAAGTGCCTGTCCTTGACTTCTGACTGACCAGGGCAGCTAGCTCTATCTGACCTGGGCAAATTGCTTCTCCTGTTGGGGCCTCAGGTTGATCCCTTGTAAAACTAGAGCCCTGGAGAAAACTTTCATTGTAGACCTTCTGCAAATACATAGCATTGCAAGGGCAGTGCTAGAGACAACCAGAGGCAATGCAGGTGGAAGGGCAGAATAGCCTCCCTGCCTGCTGTTGTGTGTGGGCCGCACTCATCCTTGAAAATGTATTAGAGGTCAAAGGTCAATGGCAAGTGTCTTCCTCTGTTGCTCTTACCTTACTTTTTGAGAAGGATCTCTCACAAGACTTGGCTCTTGGTGATGACTGGCAGTGAGTCCCCAGGCTAATCTTGTCTCTGCCTCCCAGTGCTGAGGCTACCTACAGGAGGTGACTGCTGTGCCTAGATCTTTAGGGCATTAGGGATTCTAACTCAGGTCTGCAAGCTCACACAGCAAACACCTCACCCACTTGTCCCTGGCATGGTCTGCCTTTTTGCTAATGCAGTGTCTAATGAGAATGGTATGTTGCTGTATGTTAGTCTCTCTCTTATACTGTTTTCTTACACTTGCTCCTACATTGTGTCATGAGGATTCTCAAGAGCAGGCAATGTCCCCAGGCTTAGAAGGAAAACTGAACCCCTCAGCCATACAGCTAGGCAGCAAGCAGCATTCATCCCACTTTTCTAGGTGACAAAACCGTGTCATATGTCATCTCCCTGGGTCCTCACAGGAAAACCAGAAGGCGAGGTGATAATTCCCATTTTTTCAGATGCAGAAGGGAGGTACAGTGGGTCACATGACAAAGACCCCATAGCAGGAAGCAGGAGAATGATGTCCTCTTCCTACTGGTCCTATCGCTTCTCAGCCCAAGACAGTTTTGCACTTAGGGCATTTAGTAATGGCATAAGATGGGTTTGGTTTTCAGGACAAGGGTGTTGCTGGTATCTAGCGTGCAGAGTCCAGTGATGCTGTTTAACAGCCTGTCGCTCACAGTCCAACATGCTCCTATCAGCACATTCTTCATTCTAGTCAACAGAATGGAGACAGGGAAACGCTGGTGACCTCACTTGGAAATGACGCTCATCCACCCACAAACCACTGGGCTTGCATCACTAAGGGATCTGCTTCCAAAGGCAACAAAAGTCCCTGTATCAATGCCTGTGTTAAAGGGGGACAGACAGAGCCATTAGAAAACATGCGACTATGTAGAAACCAACCCATTACATGGTTCTGTCTTCCTAAAGTTCTGGAAGCAAGAAGTGATTTGGCTAAGGTGGCTGCTAGGTGATCTTCTTACTCTGACGTATAGAGAGCATCAGTTTTGGCGCTATTTGGATCCATGTTCAGAATGGTTCTTGCACTTACTGCTCATGTGGTAGTGAGCTGGTCACATACACACTCTGAGCCCCCAGTTCCTCATCTTTGAGATGACATGCTTAGTGCCATTCCAGAGAATGGCGGTGAGGATCTGCCTCTGCAGCAGGCTTTCTAGAAGCCTCGCAGCCAGTCCTTGAGCTCCGAGAAGGTGGGCAGAGCCGAAGGAGAATCCCTGAGTTCTTCTTGTACCTGCAGATGCAGCCCATCCACGAGCTCCTGCGGCACACAAACCTGGGGCCTCTGGAGACCAAGCGGCAGAACCTGCGCCGGGCCTTGGACCAGTATCTGATGGAATTCAATGCCTGCCACTGTGGGCCCTGCTTCAACAATGGGGAGGCCATACTCGAGGGCACGAGCTGCAAGTGTCAGTGCAGCCGGGGCCGGCAAGGCGCTGCCTGTGAGAAGATGGGGCTGGAGGGTAAGACTCATGCACTCCACCCTGCCCCAGCCTGGCCTGGATCTGAGGGCCAGTGCAGAAGGAACCTTTGAGATTTTAGCCTCTTTTCCTAGGTCCTCTCTTTGATTACCCTAAGAGTCCACAGCCAAGAGTTTTATAGTTCACGTCCTATATTTAATCCTTCTTCCATTTTCTCCTGCTATCAGGGTTTGCTGTCCAGGTTTGCTGGTAGAGACACGAGGCATAGGGCCTCCGGAGCCTCTGGGCAGGATACTCCCCATGGCTCTCTTCGCTTCTAGTGGTTGGCAGCAAATCTTGGAGTTGCCTGGTTCGTAGACATCTCACTCCACTCTCTGCCTCCATAGTCATATGATTGTTCTCCCCTGCCCTCAGCTTTTCTCTCTGTAAGAATGCAGGTCATTGGATTAGGCCCTAGCCTAATCCAGGTGGCTTTTTTCTTAATGGGATTTTTCACAGCAAAGACCAAATTTTCAAGTAAGGTTTTATTCACAGGTATTGAGAGCTGGGAGTCAAATGTGTCTTTTGGAGAGATAACATACGTAAGGAGTTACTTACTACTAGATATAAAGTTGGGGCCAGTGGGGTCCAGGAGTATATAACTTTGGCATAAATCAACCCCTTAGCCAGCATTATGGAAGAAATTCATCAACAGGAGTAAAACTCTCTCCCTTTAGAATGAAGTCGGGGGACCCTGGACATGAATCCCATATATTTCATAAACACTTCTTTCTTGGGGTCTCAACTGATTCCATCTAAATCTCTTTTGAAGTCCTCCCCCCTCTCTCTCTCGCTCGCTGGACAGAGGAGCCCAGGCACTGGGCAACTCCTCTATGGTGGTTTGCACTCCAGTTTTCTTTTCGCTTCTTATCCTGAGACAGGACCTCACTAAGTTGCCCAGGCAGACCTTGAACCTGTGGTCTCCCACCTCGGTTTCTTAAAAAGCAGGGACTGCCAACCTATGGAGGCCCAGCAAGCTCCAATAGTATCAATGCGTGTATCAGTACCTAAGTTTTTAGCTTAACAGCCATACAAAGCAAGTTTCATACGGTGCCTAGGATGAAGGCAGAGCGTAAAGGGTGGCAAAAGCAATGCATACATCAGTTTCGTTTGGCCATCATAGAAGAACACATACACAGAACAGAGGCAGTCTGGATGGAGAAATCACAAGGTAGTGTGTCCATAACAACCCGTGGGAGGGTAGGAGCCATTGGCTCAACAGCCATAGGTAGACAATAAACAAAGCATGCAGGCCTCTGACTCAGCCGGAGTCTGAAGCATGACTTATCTGTCCTCAGAGTAAAGGGTCCCATTCACAGAAGTAACGAGCTAGCATTGTGAGTCTTCTGATGTGCCAGGAGCTCTGCTCATTTCCATGTACTTCATCAGATGTTGCTGAAGCGAAGTGGGGACACTGTGGTATAAGAGGCAATGTGGGGAAGACTGGAGATTGTTGGCACAGAGAAGGCTCAGAAAGGACAGGGCTCCTGGGAACTATCATGCAGGAAGGGATGAGATGTGTTCTGCATGCCCATTGAAATCAAAGCTCAGGACTAATGGAGCAGAGGGATGATGGCAATGCGGGAGGACTTCCTTCCAGATCCACTGTGGCACGTATGGAGGGAAGGGTACGACCGTGCAGGAAGTCCCAGATGAGATGGTAAGGTTGCCTCTTGGAGGCCTCCACCTAAGAGTCTCTGAGCTTCTGACTTGGGCAAGGGAAGGACAACATGAGGAAGAGATGCTAGTCAGAAGCTGGAAATAATCCAACTCCCCTTGGCTGGGAAGAACCCCAGACAGCAATTTCCTTACTAGTCAGAGGTGACAGCCTAGATGATCTTGTCTTGAGATCATCTTGAGAGAATCTCCAGGAGGGAGCACAACTCCAAGGTCAAACATACCTTTGAATTAAGTGTTAGTGATATTCACGTAAGCACATGCTATGAAATGAAATTATATTGGCATAGTCCTCACGTGCCATGCTAAAGATTAAACCAGCTAAAACACATAGCTGATTCCATGTCAGCAAGCAGAAGGAAGAGGCTGTTGCATTCCAGATGCTATGGACAGAGCATACTTGGGGTGGACCCTTCTCTGCTCAAGAACAGTTTAGATCTCAAACTGCTGCCTCTTCTCCAGAGGAGGAACTCGGAGAGGAGAGACCCAGGAGAGTGAGGGAAAGCCCAAATTTGAGAAACGTGGCTACAGAGAATAAAAACTACTACCATTAACTATCAGCTTCAAGGCTCTTGCACTGTTTTCTCCTGGGAGTCAGAGAAAGCCTCTGCCTAACTATTTGGGAATTGGTGAATTAGTGGGGGGGGGGGAGGGGAAAGATACTCCAACCTGAGACAACCCAGCTCCAGAGCGCAGGGACCCTTCTGATTTCACCAGCAGGGTATGCACTCGGTTGCAGCCCCTTCAGTCAGGCAACTTTCTCAAAGGGACCAAAGGCCACTTGACAGAAATAATGACTCTTCTTTCCAAGCCGGCATCATAGCGGCACATCCTGTGTGTGAGCCTAAATGTTCCCACAAGAGCCTTCGGAGATAAATGCTCTTGTTAGTATCATTTACTGAAGGAGCCTGGGCCAGGAGGAAGGTTAGATAACTTGCTGAAGTTCATGCGACTGGAGAAGGTAGGAACAGAGAGCTGGACCATGGGAGACTAATGCCAGGACCCACGGTCTTGACTTAATGTTCACTATTGAGTCCGTCTCATGTCATAGTGTTCCCAAAGTTTTGAATGAGATATCTCAGTCACAATCACTTAAGGGAGTGGGGAGCAAGTGTGGGCTAACCAGTTGTGGATTTCAGTCAGGCCTGACTTCAAGACACACTTGTGATTCTGTCTTGGCCATTCTAATTATTCCCTTTCTAGGGCCTGGTCCACACAGCAGAGAGATAGAGAGAAGAGGGGTCACTTAGACACATCTTTCACAGGGCAAAGGTCAGACAGTTCTGCTGAACCACACTGTGGCGGAGGTGTAAGATGTCAGTGATCTGGGTGAGGGTAGAGGCCGGAGGGGGGTGTTATAGCCAACATCTCAATCCTTCTTCATTCATTCCTCTTCCATTCAGCTAGCTGCCAGCCTTGCCCGGAACTTCAGTACCCCTCCAAGCAGGGTGCGGACATCTGGTGGCCTCATGGCCATCTCACTCAACTTTCAGACTGACAGAGATTAAGCTGGCAAGGAGAACTAAGGCAGAGAAATCTGTCAGTGTTCACAGAAACCCATTAGAGTCCCTGGGAGTATTCCCAGCAAACCTTTGCCACCAGGGTCAGTGTCACAGAGGTGGGAGAAACAAGACAAGGAATCCCGCTGTGGCTTCCCCATCAGGGAGTATAATTACAGTGCTGCAAGGGACTTGGAGATAATCGAATCCAATGGTGTTCCCAGTGAGATCTGAGGATCCGTGGGGGACTAGGGCTTGCCCCAGGGGAGGAGGGTGAGCCCAATAGTCACCCTTGCTTCAACAGAATTGCTCTGCTTTCATCTGAATTAGATGTGAGGTTCATGGAAGATTTAATTTAGGAAAAAGAAGTACTGATAGAAAATGATGAGCAACTCTCATTAGTTTAGTCCGTACTTCTTGTAGAGTCAAAACCTTAGCCTTCCTGGGGGAGAGGGACTTGCAGAGACGTAGCCAGTGGAGCCAGCAACCCTGGGTGCTTGGTTTCTAGATTCCACACTCACTGCAAGCATTTGGAAGTTTCCTACAGGCAATCTGTCATATCCCAGGACCCACTGCCAGACTCCGAAGGGTTTGGCTTCAAAACTCACATACAGAGCCTCAACAATCTGCTCCAGAGACCTCTAGCTGTCTCTCTGCCTTGGAGCTGCAGGATGGCCATAGTTCTAGTTCCTTACACCCTCCAGTGACTTGGCCTCATGTCCCCAGAGAAGCATGCTTCCCGCCTTGCCCTGCCATCCGTCTTTCATGCAACCGTGGATTCCAATTTCATGAGATGGGCTCCCAAGTGGCCTCTCCTCCCTCTGTCCAGAGTTTCAAATTAACCGTGAGGCAGCAAGCACAGAGGTCTTGCTTGGCTACCCAGGGCATTTCCCCAAGGAGGGACTGCAGAGCATTCTGGAGCTATCAGGTGACCTCCTGCCCGACACCCGCAGCCAGCTGCTCCTCCTGTCCTAACCTCTTCTTCCTCTGGTACATTTTCCTGCAGGAGTCAAAGCAGATGGCCGCTGGAGCTGCTGGAGCTCCTGGTCAGAATGCAGAGCCGGTACCCAGGAAAGGAGGAGACAGTGCAACAACCCTGCACCCCAGAATGGAGGTGCCCCATGCCCAGGGAAGAGCACACAGACCCGGGCCTGCTGAGTACCTCTGGATGCAGCCTGGGAAGACAGCGAATTACTGTTCCAAAGGAATGCAAGGCAACAAAGACCATCTTCTTCATATACTCATACATCTTTTTCTCGTCTGAACCTCATGATTCTCAGCCTCTACCAATTAACTGGTTTCCAAGCTGCCTTTCTGTTTCAGGGGGGTTGTCACCCCCATACTTCTCAGAGCCACCTTTCTATCTTACTAGATAAGCCAGCTGTGGTTTAGACACATCAGAAAATTGTTCCTCATGTTTCTGGGGGGGGGGCATAAGCTGCAAGATCAAGGTTCCATCAGGTCTAGGGTCTCAGGAGGCTGTGCTCCACTTTATATATGCCCCTTTGTTGTGTGCTCACATGGTGGAGAGCTGGGGAGTCTCTGGGACCTCCCTAAAGGGCTTTACTAGTCCTGGTCATGAGAACTTTGCCTTCATGACTCAGTCACCCCTCAAAGTTCAGCCTCCTCATGCCACACCAGGTAGAGGATTTCCAGGAGGGATTTAGAGAGACTCCAACATCATTCAGACCCCACCACCTCTCCCATGACCCTCTAATCTGTCTTCTCCCCAGAAGCAATCCTATCCAGAGGCAGAAACTGGGCTGGTTTCATTTGGCACAGTATCTTCAGATGCTAAGTCTGTGCACTGCAGGTCACAGGGGTCCAGTCAGCAGCAGTCACTGGGACGAGTGAGCAGACCAGTTTACGGTGAGGTCTGCACTGGGCAACCTCCCAGAGCTGTGGGGGGGGGGGGGACTTGGAAGGGTCATTCCGTGAAGTCCCTGCCCTTCCCGAGAAGAACCCATCCCACCAGCCAGCCTGCTGTTCCCATGCACCTGTGTTCAACACCACTGCCAGCTGCATTAGTTCAGGTTTCTACTGCTGTGATAAAACACCGTGGGCAATAGCAACTTGGGGGAAAAAGGGATGATTTCATCTTACATGTCCCAATCACAATCCATCATAAAGGCAACTTAGGGCAGGAAGGCTGAAGCAGAGACCATGGAGGTATGCTGCTCACTGACTTCCTCCTCATGCCTTGCTCAGCCTGTCTTCTTAAACCACCCAGGACCACCTGCCCAGGGATGGCAATCCCTGCGATGAACCACCCCCCCCCCCCCCCATCAATCACTAATTTAATAAATACGCTACAGACTTTGCTCACAAGGCCAAGCTGGTGGGGGCATTTTCTCGACCTAAATTCCCTCTTCCAAAATGTGTTAAGATGAAAGACGAGCCAAGCCAACATCCCAGGCTTAACCTTGCCTTCTCTTCAAAGTTGGTAGATTTCATAGCTGTGAAGCCTTCAGAAACAGAGGACTGACTGTACCCATGAAAAAAGAGGAGCCCCTTAGGCTGCTGGAGATGAATGGGTGGCATCAACGTATGTAGCTCACACATGAAGGCAGAAGGAGAGCAAGCGGGAGACGGCATCTTCCCGCAGTGTGTAGCCGAGGCAGCGCAGGCTCCACTGGACCTGGAAGGACGTGTCCATGGACTATCGGCGAAGAGAATTGTGAAAAAGAAATCCGGCCTGGGACAAAGCTTGAAGAGGAGAAAGACCACGGCAGCCGGGGGGGGGGGGGGGGGGGCACTTGCAGGTGTGTATGTGTTGGGGGTGGAGGGTGGAAAAGACAGCAAAAATAAAATCACGTGTAGGAGGCCATCACAGAGCTATTAGCATCATGATTGTTATTCCCATGTTGATAAAACATGTGGTTCAGAGGCTTACCTAAATAAACTCGGTTCTTTCCCCCGAAAGAATGAAAAAAGGCTCCGTTCTTGCTTTCCATCATGATGTTGTGTGCTTTTCCCCCTTTAAAATCAGCTTACATCCGTAATTAGCTCACATTCACGATTTGGTGATTAGCAGCAGCTACACACTAGCGAGGGACTGGGGGCCAAGTGGAAGAGGCCGAGTGGGCAATTGACGAGGACTTTCAGTCTTGCTCTAAACAGTCCTTCTGAAGCTCTCAACCTTGGCTGCACATAAGAATCACCTGGGGAATTTTTTAAACCCTGATGTCCACAAGCTGCATCCCAGACCAATTAAGTTTGAACCACCGGGGGCAGAAGCCAGCCATCAGCAGTTTTCAATGTTCCCTTGGCAATTCCATGCGCAGGCAAGGCTGACCACCGCGGAGAGGGAAGGGTCATTATATGCCCACACACAAGGAATGGGGTGTGTGGCACGCAGAGGGCCAGGGGCCGGAAAGCTTGATCTCTGCTATTTTATGTAGGCTTAAAAAGGCCCTCTCAAGGTTTGTTTGTGAGGTCTAGGTCCCAGGTAAGGAAATGACATCTCATGGGTTAGAGCTGTGGGCCAGATATTTCATGCACTGCTTCAAGCACTTGCTCCCCCTGCTCCCCGGCTCTACACTGTCTGCCATTGGCTCGACAGGACAGCTTGTGATGCTCAGGGCAGGGGAGGAGATGAAGCAGGGAGGAGCCTTGTCAGGGCTCACCGTAGTAAGCCTAGGAGCAGGAGGGAAGCTTCGCAGGAAGAGACTAAAGGATCACACGTGAGGCCAGATCACCAGCTAAACACAGAACTCTTTCCCCAGCAGTTTTAGGAATTAAAATAAGCCAGGCAGTGGTGGCCCACGCCTTTAATCCCGGCGTGCTACACAGAGAAACCTTGTCTCGAAAAACCAACCAACCAACCAACCAACCAACCAACCAACCAACCAACCAACCAACCAACCAACCAAAAACCAAAACCAGATAAACAAGGGAGCTGTGACTGACCTTTTACTACATCAGCCTCTCCTTCCACTGCAGTGATTCACGCCCTCAAAACACCTGCCTCTCCAGTACATTTCCCCTAGGTCCTTTCAGGAGATTGATCACCCCAGGTTTTATAGGGCATGGGGTGTAAACACACAGTTTAAGGTTATACTCTTCAGCTTGACAATGTGTCTTTTGAAAAGTAAATTAACGACAGAGAGGAAAGTGATAAGAGAGAGGCGGTCTTCCTTTTCTTCTCTGTGAGGAAGATCTAAAGAGTCTGCACTCTGTGACGCTCAGCTGAGCTTCTAAGCCTTTAAGGGGGAGAAAAAGGACTCGGAGGGACGCAGAAATGAGGGCTGCCTTGGAGAAGCTGCTTGCTTCCCAAGGGAGAGATGGGGATACCAGCTAAGAGAAAGGCATTCCACTGCCCCGAAGGCAGGCTCCACTGTTACCCTTCCACTTCAGAAACAGGCAGGCTAGGGCTGGGAATGGGGCTCAGTTAATAGAGTGCTTGCCTAGAGCACATGAAGTCCTAGGTTCAATCTTTAGCACTCCATGTCTTCGTTGGTGTTCTACTGCTGGGAAGAGACACCGTGACCAGGGAGACTCAGAAAAGGAAAGCAATTAATTGGGGCCTGGCTTACCATTTCAGAGATTTAGCTCATTGTTGTCACGGCAGGCAACATAGTGGTATGCAGGCAGACGGCAGCTGAGAATTCTGCATCTGGATCTACAGGGGAACGAGCGGGAAGAGAGAGAGTGTCACAGGCTCTGGCCTGGGCTTCTGAAACCACAAAGCCCACCCTCAGTGACACACTTCCTCCAAAAAGGCCACACCTACACCACCAGGCCACACCTACTTCAATAAGGCCACACCCACTAGATCAATCCTTTCAAAAAGTCTTTTGTCCTAAGTGTTCAAATATGTGAGCCTATGGGGGCTGTTGTTATTCAAATCACCAGACTATATAAACTGAGCATGCAGGCATAGGAGGAGTAGGGGCAAGTTCAAGACCAGCTTAGGGTAGGAGCAGTTACTGTCTCAAAGAAAATCTATTTTTTAAAATAATAATACAAGTTTATTGTCTTAACATTGTGAGGGCCTGAAGTTTGAAAGAGGTCACTAATATAAATAAATTTAATTGATTACAATAGTTGTAATTACAATAGCGACATTGTAGAACCCACCCAAGTGTTGAAAAACAGAGGCATTCATAAAGAAAATGATCTTTCCAGCCCTAAAGAATGAAATTATGTTATTGGAAGAAAATGGATGCATGGATGCAACAGCAAAAAATCATAATAATTAATTCAGTCAGTCTCAAAAGCCAGATTTGACAGTTCCTGGGTTGTACGTAGATACATCACGTCATGTTTGTATGTATGACTTGAAGGTAGAAGTGAGGGGCTGGAGTTGTTAGGAGTACTTATTGCTCTTCCAGAGGACCCAAATTTGGTTCCCAGCATCCACCTTAGGGGACTCACAACCGCCCACAACTCCAGCTACAGGGGATCTGATGCCCTCTTCTGGCTTCTGTGGGCACTGCGTGCATGTAGCCAACACACACAAATAGGAAAACAAATCCAAGTGTAGACATAAAATTATCTAGGGGAACAAAGAGAACTAATGAGAGAGGAGGGGGCGAAAAAAGGGGGACATATGTGGGAGGAATATGCTTAATATCCTGTGAAAATTTGAAAGAAATTTATACCCTGGCAATGCTGAAGCATGCTTGGGTAGTCCGTATATGGTGGTTCTCTTGAACTTGTCCATATTGGGTTTTGATATCCTATACATGCATGAAAATGTTCTTCTATAACACAGTACCACATAATCTAATACTTCAAGAAGAAAATAGATTAATCAATACATTCATACACACACATACAAATAAAGCTGTGAGGGTTATGTTCCTCTGTAAGACTTGGGACAGTTTATTCCAGGCATTCTCCAGCTTCTGGAGTGATCGCACTCCTTCGCTAGTGGTTCTTGCCTCCAGAAAACCTAATCTAACAACAAAAATAATACTACTAATAAAAATAAATTTGAAAAGGAAAGAGAAATAGAAAAAAAAAAGACAATAAAGTGTTAGCCTAACTTCCAGAGGCATCTGCTGCAGAGACCACTCCTGGGTGCACAGACCCACCAGTACAAGGACTTAGAGTCTAACAGAGGAGGCCTGCGGGAAATGGCAATGGCCCCTGACCAGGAGGAACCCCGGGGATCCATAAAGAGAGTCTAGTCTAGGAATCAGGGACAGCAACTGAAAGACGGCCAGGCAGCAGAGCCCTGAAAGACTCAAAGTCAGAAAAGTGGTATGTGTCCCAGGAAGAGGCACACCGAGCCCCGACGACAGTGCAGTCACACAACTAGCAGCCCATGGTTGTTCTGCCAGCTCTGGGGTGGTGCATGTCCTTCACAAGCTGGGGATAGTGAGTGTGGGCCTCACGTGTGGTCCTGGCCTTTCTGGGAATGGCAGGGGCTGCATCTCCGAGCCTTTCCTCGCCACCTTTCCGGGATTTCTCTGCTCTATGATCATAAAGGCTGCTTTCACAGTAGGTTCTCTGATCTAAGGCCTGTAGATCACTGTACCCTCATTGTCTTCTTCAGATACCCTTAAACTCATTGCTCCAGAACCTAGTATCTCTGGTATGATGTACAGAGTCCTCTGTGGTTAGTCTTCCTGTCTACCTACCTCTGACCACAGCTCCTCTTTCCTCCCATCATTCTCTGAGGCATGACTTAGGTTCCTTTCCAAGAAAGTCAACCCAGCTATTCCTATGGTTACACAGTCCATCAGGTGTATGTCCCTGCATGACTGTCCTCCTACATGGTCCATGTCCCCATAGCCTGCCTGTCTGCCCCATCCAGCTACTTCCACGACAGACAGGGATTTCTTATGTCTTCTTGGCTCTTAGAACCCCAACGACTAAGATACACCCTTCCAGTCTCCTCTTAACCCTTTGGTGCCAAAGGCCAAGACTAGCAAGGCCTTCATGTTTGACTGTAGCAACTTGTAAGAAAGTGACTCAAAGCAAGACTGTGAGCAGGATTCCTGGATCCCGTGACCTTCATAAAACATTAGAGGACAGCCCTGGAGACACAACTTAAAGGGCAAGCTTACCCCTTTCCACCTTAGTGAAAGTCTATCAAATCAAATTAAAAGTCCCTTATTCGTGGCCTTGCGAGTTCCCCCTTCCCCTGGAGAGATAAAGAAAAATATGTCTCCTTCCTGTATTAACAGCTTAAAATATGAGATAAATCCTCCCATCCTAGCCTGTTTTTAACAAATAGACTTGGCTGTCGGGTGGTATGATACATGTCCGACAGATCTATTTATCCATTCTATTTCCTTAGCGATAACACTGAGAAGTTTTATCTGGTATTTGGCCCCCTCCCC